GGGAAAGAGAGAAGTGGAAACATATATAGATACGCAGAGTTAGAAATAGTTTCCCTGGATATGTATTAAAGAAGAGAAAGTTTCTTAGTTTTTCTGTCTTTCGTTTTCTTCTCCCTGGGAAGCTTCTGTAGAAAGCTCAGCAGAGTAAGTGGGAACTTCTCTTTATTTATTGTTAACACTGCCAGCATCAGCTCTGAAGATGTACAGAAGTCAGGTCCCTGGTAGTGTGTCAGATGATGCCATTTCCTGGACAAATGTTGTTTCCAGAGATGGATGACTGGTGAAGGCTTTTCAACTTCTCATGTAGTCCAGTGATCTGAACAGATTCCAAAATGACACTTCGTGACCCTTGGGGAGATTCTGCAAAGGAACTGAGTGCTAGGAGACGTCTGCATTTTTTTTGCATCATGCTATTGTTCAGAGAAATAGGAGGCCAAGACCGGGGAGTTTCTCTTTGGCATAGTAGTTTGTGGGTCAAAAACATAGTAAGTTGGAGCAAGGAGCATCAGAAGCCACCTCCTGAGGCTAGCATTGGCGTGGGAAAGAGAAAGCATCAAGAAGCAGAGTGTGTTTCAAAGCATTTGTTTTATTTTAACAACTGGCTCTTTTGCAGAGGGTCAGATCACCTGTGGTACTGCTCTGGCTAAATAAGGTTTAGGTTGATTCAGGACTGCAGAAAGAAGTGTCTGCCTATCTAGGATCCACAGCCTGGAATTCTCTCCTGAATCTGAGTGCCAACCTCTTCTATTTGAAAGAGCAGGGCTCGCTGCTTGTCTAGTGTAAGGGTAGTGGGGATGCTTGCTTTTTAATGCAGAGACTTAACAGGAAAAGGCTTCATCTGTAAAGTGGAAGAGTGGAGTTCGGTTCTCTCTATGGCATAAGGGTGGGTTTCAACATTGCATTTATAGTCTCCCGAATAAAAGCACCGACCATCAGCCTGTTGATCCCCTCCAGTATTCTTTCTGGATTTTACAACCACTGGAAAAATATCAGTGCAATCCTAAGAGTAGGACTTAGGGCTTGCTATTCATTAGCAAATGCTGTTCCTTTTCTGGCCTCAGATATCTTGTGTTGTTTGTTGCTCAGTGATACAGCACCAGTAGAATACTACATTTTCTTTTGAAGAAGTCGTGGGTTGGAACTCTCAGGCCAAGGACAGAATTGAATCCATTCTTCTGTTTGCTGAGTTATTGAACAGTTAGTCATCCAACCAGTTGGCAAGTTGTTCTGGTATTTTTGGACTAATGGATTTCCTTCTTTTCATAAAGTTTTGCATTGAAAACACTACACATTTTATTACTTAATAAGTTTCTGTTGAGCAGGTGTGTGACGTGTGACATAGGCACTAACAAAACCAGAGGTTTATGTGCTTATAGTATTTTAAAGTCAAATAGGAAGCAGAGTTTGCACAACTTTGAGGATAGGTGAAACTGAAAAAGAGCTTTCTGGATGAAAATTTTGGGTTTCGTCACCTTAATTCCAAAGTACTAGTCAGCTCTGTATTGACTCTTAAGTTTCCTCAGGACATGGAAGAGCTGAATAGGCAAATTGAAGGGCAGGATCTTGAGGACTGGAAGGCATGAACATCTGGGAGAGGGAAGATACAATGGAGAGGTAAGTAAAAGCAAGAAGAGTAAGAATAGACACCACAGTGTAGATGTAAATAGGAACGGATCTGGAGATGAGTAAAAATGTCCCCACGGGACACTTCCATTCCAAAAGCTTAAAGGGAAACTGGGAAAAATTTTGAGTTCTCGAAGAGCAGACTGTGTTAGCTTCCTGAATGAGGAGAGCAATTAATGAAGAGGATGAAAACTGTGAATTCTTGTTTACTGAATAGCACAAAGTCAGATGAGAATAAGTTAACGTGGTCTTTTTTGCTTGAAGAGTACATTATAAAGACTAAACTCAAGAAAGTCAAGTTAAAGCTACTCTGAAAACTTTATAATTTCACTGCTTGATTTTGCAACTCTGACTGTGTTTCAGTGTACTTTTGTTATGCTGTCATGTAAAATATTATTTTTATGTTTCTTAGTCTATCTTCACCAGACATTAAAACATGTATATTATGAGATATCAGACATCAACTCCCTGTACATTGTCTCCACAAAATTAAAGGCCAGATTGGACATAATTTTGCAACTGGAAATGCGGGTTATTATGCTGCTTCAGAGAGAGCTCCAAAAAGGCATTTACACACCTAGGCATCATCTCAGTTGGAGTTGCCCATTTTTCTCAAAGGTTTGAGCAGTGGGTGGGACTAATGGTAGATTTATAGATTTTTACTCCTAGTTCCTTCCTGCCTTTTTTTCCCATTTTGGTCATTGTGACTTGAATATGCTCTTTAGTTCCTCTGTGTATGCAAAGACATGGAGAGCCCTGATAGCTGCTGCACAGGTGAGCTGGGAAAGCTTTATATTTGTGTATTGTTCAGTGCTGACACACTACAGGTTTTCTGTGTTTGCTAAATACAAACCTTTCGCTCCAAATAACCAGAGATTTGATCATTCAGCAAATCAGAAGAGGTGGTGTATTTCAAAGCATGTTTCAGAAACCATGAGGTGGAAAAACGTGTAGAAAATCCTTGATTGCATCACAGTTTAGTGAACTTAGGCATTTCCTTTTAAAAAATTGAGCTGTCTTAAGTATGATTGCTAGCAATATCAGCTTTTGAGAATAATTTATAGTAGTTTCAGGGTTTGTTTTTTTTTTTAAAAAAAAGTATAATTTTAAAAATATTTATTTTCCAATAGATGGCAGTCTGGCTCAGTAATTTCAAGAACAAAAGCAGCCATCTTATATGAGTTTTCCAACTTTTTTTCATTGCTACATTAAAATCATGCATTTTTAACACCGTTCTTAGTATAAACTGCTTAAAAGCAAACACCTATAATTCTTATAAGAGGAGAATTTATTGAACATCATGGTATACTTTTAGACTACTAACAAAAATATCAGGGCTAAATTTAGAGGTGTATTACAACACAGAGGTTACACATCGTGTGTATTCAGATCTCTGTGATTCAAGAGCAAGTAATAAAATTTAAACAGGTATAACTTGCAAGGCAGCGAACCTGAAAAATTGTATTGGGAAAACGAACAGAAGAATCTCAAAGTGTATATTGTGAATAATCTTCCTGACCTCCTGCAAGTAA